CCGGTGCAAGGAACAGGGCCTGCCCTTGCCCGATGGGGAGGGTGCAAGGCTGAGATGCTGGCTGCTTTGCTGCTGTAGTCTGCAGCCTGCTGAGCTGGCCTGGTTAGGAAGGGGGTTTATACACAGAGGACTTCCTGGGGTCGTAAGAGTTGGACTCTTCCAGTCCAATTTAGCCCTTTCACCTCCCCAGCCAGTCTGCTGCCAACCCTTAGCAAAGCAGAGGGCAGGGAAGCCCCAGAGAATTTCCCACTTGTCTCCACCACCACTGCTGACCCATCTTGAAGGGCTTCAAGGCCTGTGTTGTTCTGCCAGCTCAGAGGCTCTCAGCGGGCCCTGCCTAACACCAAGTGCCAGCTCCAGCAGCAGGGCTGGCAGCCAGACTTGAAAAAGCAAGGGTGTCCCACCCCTGCCCCTGGCTGCTAGAGGCTTCTGCCTGGACAAGAATCCCTTTCAGAGCTGTGAGCCCAGTCAGGGGACAGACTTGTGATTGTGCACATTGTTTTAAAGAGCTTTAGCAAACACAACTGACCCAACGATTGCCTGAATAACATTGACTCTGGAAGTCACCATGCCCAGGGTGTCCACAGAAACTCCACTGCAGTCCTGCCTGATCAGTCCCTGGCACCCAAGGCCTGGCAGTGGGTAGACAAGAGAATGGTACACCTCACACCCACTCACAAACATGGCAATCTGCCCTTTACTGAGTGCCATTGTATGCCAGCCTCTGCCCTTGTTATAGGTGAGGGGCTAGTGACCTATAAAAAATTCCCTATACCTCTGCCATCATAATGAATTTGACCCAAATGAACCTCCTCCACTAGTTCCAAAATGACCTGCTCCAACCTGTTATGTACAGCTCCTGCCCTGAGTCTCATAACTTGCTTCTGCTTTTCTCATGGGCCCCTCAGACAGGGTGGTGTGATGAGATCTGAGTCCTCTGAAGGCCCCTCAGCTCCTGATGCTGTGTTGCCAAGCACTGTCCTGTGTGCCACAGCCTGGCCCTGATTGTGAGCAGTCAGCATACACTGGCTCAGAGCTCATTTTCAGCTCATGACAGCATACCTTATCTGTTTACCAAAATGTGACACATCTTGGAGTTCATCCTTTAAAACAGGAGTACTGCAGGCACAGCTACACGCCCCATATGGCCTGGGCCTGCTTATCCCTGACATCACTAACAAAACAGAACAAAAAACCACTCAGACTTAAGTTCAAGTTCCACCCATCACGCACGTTATCACTCCTGCTGCAAACAAAGTGCCCAACTGGAGTCTTATCAGAAGGACTCTCCTTTTCCTCCCTCCTGAACAAGGGGATCCCACAGAACTGACTCAAGAGCCTGGGCTGGCCAAAGGCAGTCCATGGAAGAGGATCGGGAGGCACGATGAAAGTTACAAATAGGCCCAGACTGACCAGAATCTCTTCTCAGAGATGAGGCAGGAAGGGGACCCCAAGTCTAATGCCACTGGGGATGGCACTGGCTTTGGCCTCAAGTCTGGTGTTATAAAATTGAGAACTGGCTAAATCCCTAACTCCACCAAGTTCAGAATTGGGTGTTGTTTTGGTTTTGCCTATTAACGTGGAGTAGAAACTTATCTGTTTCAAGATTAATCAGTATAAGCAGGTCTATTTTTGTAGGTGTTTAATAGTATGAACAAGAACTGCTCTTCCCAAATTCCCACCCCAGCTTCTCCCACCTAACCAATCAGGATATTGCTCACAAAGAGGCGAACTGCATAGGAAGATACTATATATTTATATATATATTTTTTTCTCTTACTTGTTTTCGTCCTTTAGGTTTGGCCTGTGTAAATGAAATAGAGTACTGAGGATTTAGCCAATTTTTCAAATCCCTCTAGCTCCATAACAAGCTGCAGTCTTATAATGAGGAACAGGTTAGCTGATGGTCCTTATACTGACTTTCACGTGTACCCATTATTCTGAGCTTTGGTTTCTCCAATTACAAAAATTAAGACAAAAGATTGAGAACAGATTTCTCTAATGAAGCTAGATTTTCAGGGAGCCCCAGCCCATTTTCAAGGACCATAAGTACTATCTTTATAATTTGTATTCTTTTTCTTAAATACCCCCACATTGCATATGCCTATGACTCTGCAAAACCTGATCCACCCCCAGATGCTGACATGTAGCTAACGGACAGGCACTAAAGATTCACAACATTTTAAAGAAGGAAACCAAACTCCATGAAAGAGAGATAGGAAAGCATGCTCCTTTATCTTTGCTTTTACCAATGCTTTTTTTCTTTTTAACTGATGCTAAAATGTTGGGAATGTTAGTAGTTAACAGCAAGCCAACATCAGATATGCATTAACATGATTCTACTTGAAAAGCTACAGAGCTTTGGGTTACAATGGTGTCTATTATTAATGAAGAGATAAGGAATTTTCACTGTGAAAAATAAAACTAAGCTCATACAAAATTTAACTTAGCTAATTTGAATTGAAGGCTGCAAAGCAGGGGAAGCCAGAAAGAGAAAAAAGAGATAGGAAAGGCTATGAAGCAGAGAAAGAATGGGAAACCAGTCAATAAGGCAGGAAAAAACATCCCCTCATCTTGAGCCCCTGTGTAGAATGGAGAAGGCCCTGCTAATGCTCTGTGTAGCAATGGAGAGTACAACACAGAACAGACCCCTTCTTTGCTGAAATATTACATGGTGTTGGGTAAGAAGGCACCAGTCACTGTTAATTCAGCAAATGTTTTTGCTCTTTGTCACCAGATGCTGGGAACATAATAATGAGTAAACAGACGTGGCCTCTGAGTTCCAGTCTGGAGGGAATGCAGCCAAGCAGAGGCCAGTGCCGTTCAGAGTAATGTGTGCTTTGGTAGGAAAGGCAGAGGACTTTAGGGGAATGCAAACAGGGGCATCGGATCCAGCTCTGGAGAATCAGGGAAGATCTCAGGGCCTGTAAGCACTCACCAGAAGAAGAATGAAAAGTGTGTTTCAGGCAGAACTAAGAGGGAAGCATTCAGTGCTTCTGAAGCCTGGTGTGTGTTGTGTGTTGGGGAGGAGGATAGAGGCAGCATTATTCGAGCAGTGCTGGATCATATGGGTTTTGAAAGCCTTGGTAGGAAGTGTGAATTCAAAGGTAGTAAGAGTGACTTTATGATGTCACCAGAGAGTGTGAGGACCAGTGAGATGCAAGGCTGGAGACAGGGAGGCCAGTTTGATGGCTGTGTCAATTGAGGCAAAAGATGCTGGTAGCCTAGAGAGAAGCTGTAACCATGGATGGAGAGATGGTATGGATTTAAAAATACTTGAGTCACAACAAACTGCTTTGACAGTTGGTTAGAAATGAGGTGTGAGGCACCCAAGGAATCTAAAATGACCTCAGATACATCTGACCTGAACAGTTGGGCAGCCAGATGGTAGAGGCATTTTTGACTCCAGGAGGGACAGCTTCAGTGCTTCTGAACTGAATCAGCCAGTAGGATAAAAGGAAACTTCAGAATTTATAGCAGAAGGTCAAGTTGAAAGGTCTGAGAAAGACTGACCTATTAAAGTTGTGGACGACAGGACAAAGGAGAAAAGGGCAAGAGTTGGAGAAGTCAGGTTGAGAAGTCAATTGAAAAGACATTCTGATAATAAAAACAGGCTACAAAACCATGTGTACAGTAAGATACACATGCACAGGATCCATACAAAGGAAAGACATTGGTGAAGCCTCCCTGAATGTAAGATCAATGGTGCTTGGTAGTTCCTTCTCTTGGCTTTGCTGTAGTATTTGAAAACTAAAGATTGCACAATAAGTGTGTTGGGTTTTTTGTAATAAAAAAATATTTTTATTATGAAGGTGGGAGATTATTGAAAGGCTTTTAACTTAAATTGAGGAATGTAATTAGAAAGGAGCTAAAGGAGGTAATATGATTGACTGCCTCACAAACTCATACATGGATTCACTTACAAAGATTAAAACATACTGGTCCTGAATTCCATCTCAAGAGATTGATTCAATTGGCAGGAACTGTGGCCTGGGCCCTGGAGAGTTTTTAACACTTCCCGGGTGATTCTAATGTCAGCAGATGGCAAACCACTAATGTAATTATGAAAAGAATGACAACCTTTTTGACTAGCATTCTGAGTTAATTAAAAAGGAGTGAGACTCTTGGGGAGGTTTTCAGGGTTAGGCCATGAGACTCCGTCAAAAGTTAGTAATGAGTCAATGTCCACAAGGTTGGTCATGGAGTCAGTCACACAGTACGTCCTTAAATGATAGCCTGGTGAAGAGAGCTGAACTAAACCCCGAGACGACACAGGATGGGGATGGGACTAAGAAACTGCAAGAAATAGAGCATTTTTATGGGAAGAAAATCTGAGGCTTCTGTTGTTGAAAACAGGTGGCAAATGTTATTGTATATCTAAAGGCAAGGAATCTCACCCTAAGGCAATACTCAGCAAAGACCAACAATCAGACAGCAACTCAGCTGAAGACCTTCATGGGCACAGACCATAGAGCACAAGGAGTGGTTTTCAAACAATCTGTCACTACGAGCCAGCAGTGGGTGACCATCCCAGGCTGCATGTTTCATGGCAAAACTGTCCTAGCAGAGACAACAGGGTGATGCCTGCCTACAATTCTAGTCCCTCCACCAATATCCTTGTCTTCTTGGGTGAGTTACCTCATAGTCCTGACCTCCCACTCCTTGTCTGGAAAAGGGAGGAGGATGTTGCTGTTTCACAGGTTTCTCGTGTTTAAATAGAGTGGGAACAGCTAATAAGGTTTCTTAATTGCTTTGTGATTGCCATTATTTGAAACAGGAAGCGAGTACTGTACAGTAAATCCTTGGCTTGTGAGCATAATTCGTTTGAGAAACATACTTGTTATCCAAAGCATTTGTATATCAAAGTGTATTTCCTCATAAGAAATAATGGAAATGTGGGTGATTCGTTCCACAACCCAAAAAATTTCATATAAAAATGATTACAATGCTGTAACACAAAATAATGAAATATTTAAAAAAATAAATTGACCTGTACTTACCTTTGAAAACCTTCATAGCTGGTGTGAGGGAGACGAGAGATCGTTGTGTAGATGACTTTCACGATCACTAATGGAATCACTGCTATCTACTGGCTCAATGGAATCTCTTTCTTTTCATGCAACTTTAATGATGCTTTTGCCTCCTTTTGAGGATTTCACAGAAATTTGACATTGTATTGTCGTTAAACAGATTCATCACTCCCACTGCTACAGCCTTATCCGGTGGCACTTTTCTACAAAATTTTGCATGGATCCTGCATTTTACACATCACCCTGATCTCATTCGAAGTAAAGAATTCCTCCCCCTCTGCAGATGAAATCTCCATAACCTCTTGCTGTTTGGAGACGTCACAATTCCTCAGTGTGTGCGCACGCACATGCGCACACAAGCAATCAAGAGAGAACCATCGGCCCATTTGTAATCATGTGATGATTGGCATCCCGCACTACTCATATTGAAGGCATCGTTCACTTATCAAGTTAAAATTTATTAGAAATGTTTGCTTGTCTTGCAGAACACACATGGAATAAGTTACTCGTGATCCAAGGTTTTACTGTATATATAACTGTTAAAGCCAGCTGGGGACATGCGTATGATTCAGTGACAGACCCCTTGCCTAGTATCTGTGAGGCACTGGGTTTGCGCCCCAGCAGTGGGAAAAAAAAATTAATCTGGTCCATTGTACCAAAAATCTTCCTGCCTCACTTCTCTCACCTGATATTTTCTCTTACTTAACCTTCCAAACCCTAAAGGAAGGTAGCTAGGAAACTACTCTTTTTGATAGATTAATGGCATAGGGTAGGTAGGCTTTTTAAAAACAAAGTTTAACTTGATATGTTAGTATATGACTGTACTCCCAGCACTCTTGGAGGCTGAAACATGGTGGTTGCAAGTTCAAGCCCAGTCTGGACAATTTAACAACTTTTTTTTTCTTTTTTTTCTTTTTGCACTGGGGATCGAACTCAGGACCTTGCACTTGCCAGGCAGGTGCTTTGCAATGAGCTAAATCATAGGCCAACAATTTAACAACTTAATGAGACCCTGTCACAAAATTTAAAAAATTTTAAGGGCTAGGGATGTAACTTAGTGCAAAGGCCCTGAGTTCAAACCCCAGTACCAAAACAAAACAAAAAATCCACCCAATGTAAAAAGCAGAATCAACAAACTTAAAGCTTTATTATATAAAATATCTTGATGTTAGTCGCTGTCAGAACATAGACAATAGTTATTGAAATTTTAACTAAGGAAAGGCAAAAGGCAACTGTAGTGACGTGTGTGGGGTTTTGCTTATATTTCATTAAATCTGAAATGCCTTTTCTTTGATTGTGAAATATGCCATCATTTTATATATTACTAAGTAAAAAGAATGTTCCCAATTTATAACACAATACTTTCCTCTTAAGATTTTTCCTTATTAAAAGAATTCTTAAATTTATTTAAACATCTATTGTTACCATGTATCACTCTTGTACATATCTAAGAGAGAAAACAAGTGAAAAGAATCAGTTAAGGTATTTCACAAAAACACATTTACACTCTTCTGAGTCACTTTGCAGTCATCAGTAGCCTGTTTTTCCACACAATAATGTCCTCTGGGCCATCCAGCAAATTGGTGATATGGTTTCTCATTATCTCCCATATTTTCTTCTGAACAACTGACATTTTTTTTTCAAGTTTTCTTGCCTAGTGTGTGATAGACAATGCTTCTGTGCATACCTTGGTAACAAAATATAACTCAGTTTTATCTACTTGTTGGTATCTTCCCTTCTTAAGTCCTACAATGCTACATTTCTCAAACTTTCATGTTCATGCAAATCACTTGGGGATCTTGGTAAACAGTAAATAAAGAACAGATCTTTACTGCAGCCTGAAATCCTACTGTTCTCACAGGTGAGGCCAACACTGCTGGTCCCAGAATCACAGGTTAGGCAACAAAGCTATAAAGCAACTGAACCAACTGATTGCTTCTTTGCAAGAAAAAATGGGAGTGTGATTATCCCTCCAACAAATTTGCTTCACTAATACCAAATTTATGCCCTGTTTCTGTTTCCATCCTCTTTTATGTATGCAATAATTTTTCATTTCAATGCCAAATCACAGTATAATCTTTTTGAAATCACTTAAATGGCAATGAAACTCAAGATGTGTAGCACCAGCAATGCCTGTGACTCACTGAAGTGATAGCAAAGTGCAGAGCTAGGGCTGAGTAAGTACTGCACAGTCTTGGGCCCCCCCCATGTCAACTATAACATATCAAAAATTGCAATCTACACCCCAAAATCAGAGACAAAGAGAAATGGGGAAAATGCAGCTTCGGGTCAGGGAAATATGGAAAATCTGTTGCAAACCCCTGTATTGTTTTAGTCTCTACTCTTCACAGATTTTTTTTCTATATAAGAAAATGCTAAAATCAGAATTAGGAAGTATGAGCTTAGTAATAGCTCCAGTATGTTCCTCAGAGACTCTGTTTTTAACTTTTGATTTCACCTTTGTGAGTGAAACGTAAAGATGGAAGTTCCTCAGTGTGAGCCCTGATGACCTGTTTACAACCAGCCTCCCAACAGTCAGTGTCATGAGGCCACCCACTCACTGAAAACTCCCAGCTCCCAGCTCTACCCAGTTTACCAAAGCTGCACCTCTGAGGTCCCATTCCTGAAACTCTCCAGTCCTCCAGGGAGAGTCTGAGGCCACTCAAGACTGGGATCCACTGGTTTAGTATCTGCACACCTTTCTGCAGGACTTAGCCCATCAGTTTGCCATGCAGCAAACACTGCCAGGTGTTAAAGGGTCTAATATAAAACCTCTCCCCTCCTAATGGACTTTTACTCCAAATAGGTTAGAAGAGAATACTGAGAATGCGCTGGGTGTTCAGAAGAGGACTGAAAGATAGGAAGAAGAGTTGCTTCCACTGGATGTGGTTGGAAAAGTCTTCGTGAAGAACATGAGAAGTGTGCTAGGTCTCGAAGGATGGATGATATTCACGTGGGTTAGGAGAAACCATTTCAGCCGGGCGGCACAACAGAAACGAAGGCAAGGAAGCAGGCACAGCGTGGGCCAGGTGTTCCAAAGAGTTGGTTCAGGTAACCGTATCAGAAAATAGATGCTTGGAAACTTTAAAATAAATTCTTTTGCCCTACAAGAATTTACCCTTTGTTTCTTTCTTCTCCTTCTCCCCTCGTTTCAAGTTCAGAGAGGAGAGACCAAGAACCTTCTGTGGTTTTCCTTCTGTGCTGCAGGCCACATTGCTGTCTGCTGCTTCATCCTGGTTGCCTGGCCACTCAGTGTGCTTCTGAACCACCTCCTCTGCCCCATTCCCTGTCCTGTCAGCTGCTCCACCAGGAGAACTGCAAGCTCATTGCAATATTAGTGTGAGCAAAACACAACTGGAGAGGAAATTTTGCTGCTCTGTTCCAAATAGCATATGGTACCTCCCAAAAGCTAAAATAAATGATTTTTTAATCATCTGCCGTTCAAGATTATCCACGCTCCCTTTCCTCAGTGTGGATAATTGAAGGTTGGCTGTATTTGGATTTCAAAGTAGTTTGGACTTTATTGAAATCCAAGGCTCGCAGTTGGCTCCCCACAGCCGCACTGGGTATCCATGCCTGTAATTAAATTGATCTTCGAAGGGAAGGCCAGGAGGTAGCTCTGATGTGAATGGTTACCAGAGAAAGACAATTGACATTTTTGTGCTGCACATGTGTCCCACATGTGGGACCAAAAGGATACCAACTGCTTTCGATGCAGAGAGAGGCCTCTTGTGTGGCTCTGAGGTGCTGTTCCCTCTGGACAGTGCTGCTCTCTGAACAGCCTGCACCCCTTTTAGGTTTGATCTCACTGTGGTACCCACGGGTCTTATGTTGCAAGCAGAGACATTAGAGGTGATCTATTTTTCTGGTGGGCAAAATTTGTCACACACTTGTACACAAACAGCCTAGGACTGAAGTTTTAAGGCAAGGGCAGCACTGAATACAGCATGGTAAGAGTCTGTCTGTTCCCAGCAGGTGTGTGCAGTTTGTGTGTGAGGAGGAAGGTGGGCAGCCTCTTCAAAAATGTACAGGCTCATGAGTAGGAGGTGTGTTGCTTCAAACAGAGTGGTCCCTAGGTGCAGGGGACAGATGGGCAAAAAGAGAAGATATGAGCCATCCCTTCACCTGGATGTGTTTTCCATCCAGACAAAAAGGAAGGAAATTTTTAAAATAAAAACATGGGAACACATACAAAAGAAGCAGTTGAGGAGGGTCTCAGCAGCTGCAGAGGTGCCTCATGGTGCTGAGGCCCAGCACTGCAATGTTGGAAGGGGGCCCAGGAAGCAGGATGTCACTGGCTGCCCAAGGAACTGAGCAGGAGACTGAGCCAACTTAGAGGGGCAGTAGGACAAGGGAGAGAGGGAAGCAGGATGCATCAGCTGAGCCTTCTGGGTACTCTCAGTGACTCAGCCACACTGTGCTCTGCTTGTGATCAAGGATGCTTTCACTGGGCTAGTGGCCATGGATGGTATTGTCCAGAAGTGCACTGCTGCATGGACTTGAGACTGCTCCCACCCCTGTTGAGGCCCAGAAGCAGGATTTGGGCACCATATTCAAGGTCTCATACCATTTTGCTACAGTTAGGACCCGTGCGACCAACATTCAGCATCTCCCCCAGATCACACTCAGCAGCCTCTTCCCTGCTGCCCTTCCACCACCAACATCCTGCTCTGGCCACGGCCGCTTCTGTTTTGCTCTCTGGACTCTGCTGGCTGAGCAGAAATGATGCCTTTGATCAACCCAGGAAGAGATGAGGAGTGTGCTGTGGCTGGCCTCCCCACCCTCTCCCTCCTCAGCCTCCTCCCCTTCTCTGCCTTGCGCCCGAGACTGCCCCACCACCCCTATCATGCTCGGGCTTCCATCAAGATTCCCTGAACACATGGAATTTGTTACTGACTATTTATGGCTCTCCTACTGTCCCCCAGCCCTGTACAACCAGCTGGCTCACCACCAAAATGAGGATGAGCGTCTGGGCTAGGAGAACAAGCCATCCAAGGTATCATTTCATGCCCTCCTTGGAGAGGATGGCCAGGCCATTTTTATGATTAAACTCACTAACCACTCCTACCGGCCTCCATGACAGCTTCTCCAGACCATAGTGGTTACTGATTAAAGAAAGCCTGGGTTATTTTTCTTGGAAGATAATTAAATGCAAGCACAGAAGGAGAGAGAGAAATAGAGCTGTCCTCTGCAACATTCCTTACAAAACCTACGGATTGCTCAGCCCATCTCCTCATCACACCAGATGCCTCTGATTGCCCAACAACAAGTGTGTATGTCATGGAGGTGCAGCCACCATGGCTCTGCCCTTCACTGGAAGAATGCATAGACTCCTCCAGAGGCTCAGACAGTA